CTGTAAAGATACATCCAGATATAAAGTCTTGCCTCAAGAGTGCAAGTAAAATTTACTATAATTCTTCTTCTTTTTTTTTTTTGGATAAATTGAATTTTATTACTCAAAGAATCAGATAATCTGCTACAAATCAAATAAAAATGTATAGCTACAATACGATCCAATAATATACCGAAAACCAATCCAAAAATTAAATACCGAAAAATTGGATCCGATAAAAACTCAAACTGAGCCGATAGTTGGTGTGCCCACGGGCACGCCATAACTGAATATTTCTTCTGTTGGGTGAATTATTTTTATCCACATTTTTATCCACTTCTAAAGATTATTTTCCCATCAAGAAGCAACAATGATATGTTCCCACTTGTTGTTAGAAAGAAAAGAAAAAGGATTATAATTTACGTTCCCCTGTATCTATTGCTTTCATTCTGTTTATTTTCTCATAATTACTCACTTTTGAGAGTTATTAACGAATTCATTATTTGATAGTATTTTTTCTAAAATATTCATAATGGTTTTTTCCCAACATATTGAAATAAATATAATTTATTAAATGTTCTAGAAAATTAAATATATCTTTATGAGATATATAAAAGTAATTTATTCATAATAAGTGGTTGAAACGGTAAGGGCAGGAATATAGAGGAGGTGGGGTACAAATCAGAAATCTATGTAAAGTATAAGCCAGGAAAGGCAAGCATCAAGCGTGGGACACATCTGAGTCACTTTTTTTTTGGAATATGGTATCAAAATATTTTCATTTTTTTGGCTTTACTTTTCCAGTTTGATATAAATTTATAATATATTACTTTTTATCTTTTTTTCCCGGCCTTTTCAATATTTAAATTTGAAAGAAATATTATAATATATTATAAACGTTTGACGTGATGTACATTTTTATTAAAATAAATAATAATATTTTAATATTTTATAATTATTTTTTATTGTAATACCTGTAAATGCGTATTTATACTTAATTTTTCTATCATCCACCAATCATTAACAATGATAAAGTCTAATAAAAAGAGATGAAGTAAAAGGCAAACTAGTTCATGTTCCGCCAATTAAGTAAACATTAAGCAGGCAAAAGGCAGCTTAAACAGGAGAAAAAGAGAAATATGTATAGATAGATTATTACATCCATGCTGCATTCTTCAACGGGGTAACGACTGCCTTCACTTGCAAGTAATTGCTAAGACTGTAAATACCCTTCTCTCTACCTTGTCCGCTCATCTTGTACCCACCAAATGGAACTGCTGCATCAAACACATTATAACAGTTCACCCAAACTGTTCCCACTTTCAAAGCTCGACTCAACGTGTTTGCGGTGTCGATGTCCTGCGTGAAGACAGCAGCAGCCAGTCCGTAACCGCTTCCGTTCGCCCTCCGAATCACCTCATCGATGTCCCTGCAATCAGATCGATCATATTGGTTAAACTCAAAACTCTCGTATGATTGTTAAGACGGGAAAGGCAAACTCAATTTCTCAGTTCTCACTTGAATTTCAGGATAGCTTGAACTGGACCAAATATCTCATCCTTTGCAATCAACATGTCTTCCTGTTGACAAGTGAAAGTTTTTTATCATATCATTACAATGTTTCAATTGCATTCTTGATAATAATCTGGTTTTAAGTTGTAAATGGCCTACCTTTACATTGGAAAAAACAGTGGGTTGAATATAGTAGCCCTTGCTCCCTATCCTCTCCCCTCCGGCTTCGAGTGTTGCTCCGCTTTCAATACCGGATCTTATGTACCTCAAGATCTTTTCGAATTGTTCTGAATCAACCTGATTTAAGTATACATTGGTATCATATGTGTTCCTAATAGAAAATCAATTGATATATATAAGAACTGGTATATGAAACGGTTGTCGGTTTACCTGAGGACCTTGTTCAATTCCGGCTTTGAATGGATCACCAACTCTGCGATTCAACGCACGTGCCTTTGCCTTCTCCAAGAACTCATCATACACGCTCTCATGTACATATGTACGAGAACCAGCACAGCAACATTGCCCCTGCAAGTGGATTTTAACTGTAATCAATATAAAGAAGAGCTATACGAAAAAACCAAGTTTGATGTTACAAACAGCAATCGATTAGAGACATACCTGATTAAAGAACAAAGCAAAGTGGGCTAACTCGACTGCCTGATCAACATCGGCATCCTTGCATATGATAAAAGGCGATTTTCCTCCAAGCTCCAATGTTACGGGCTTGAGATTGCTTTTTGCAGCTAACTCGAGGACAGTTTTTCCAGTTTGAGTAGAACCAGTGAAAGCAAGCTGCAAATTGTCTCCATTGATCTCATGGGTAAATATAGAAACTATGACAGAAAATATATAAATTATTGGATGTAATGTACCTTATCCACTTGCTTATGACGGCAAAGAGCACTGCCGGCTGTTGGACCAAAACCGGAAACCACATTTAGAACACCTGGAGGAAGTCCAGCCTGTAGAAACAATTTCCAGTGAGAAAATTTGTGCATTCAAATCCAATGGACACTGAAGTTTTATGTACTTCTCATCTGAATTCACTGTATTTAAATTAGAAAACATGAAACAAGTAAATAGATTATATAGTCAAGAAATTACCTCGTGGAGTAGCTTGGCTGCATAAAGAGCAGATAATGGTGTCTGCTCTGCTGTCTTAAGAACAACAGTATTGCCACAAGCCAGGGCAGGCCCGATCTTCCAAGAAAACATGAGAAGAGGGAAATTCCATGGAATGATTTGACCGGCAACACCGATCGGTTCATGTATGGTTTGAACATGGTGTGGGCTATCAGCCGGAACTGTAAGACCATGAATTTTGTCCGCCCACCCTAAATAACCAAAACAAATCTAGTGTGTCAGACTCAGATGTGAACAATACTTGAGAGATAGCAAAACTATTGAGTGTGATTGTTACCAGCATAGTACCGAATCAGACGTGAGATCATCGGTAGTTCAATGTTAGCAGCCTGCTCATATGTTTTTCCATTATCCCAAGTCTCGAGCGTCGCAAGCTCCTCAGTGTGCTTATCGATAAGATCAGCAAATCGGAACAATACCATCGACCTTTCCTGGAGGACAACAGACGAAAAGATTAAGTTTAACAAAGTTGGAAGATTATTTCATATGAAAAAAAGTAAATCTAGGAAGTTACATACATAAGCAGTCATCCTTGGCCATGGTCCTTCATCAAACGCCTTGCGAGATGCAGAAACCGCACGATCGATATCTTCAGCATCAGCTTCAGCAACATGAGCAATCACATACCCTGTCCTGGGTCATATGTTGGAAAAGTTTTGCCTGGTGGATTGTGACAGTTTTAGTTAAAAAGTAGCATCATTACAATTAACATGCTTAACAATACACATTGACAGCTCCATTTTAAATCCAAACAAGTTTCAATTACAAGAAACAAAAAGCTCACCTGATGCGGAATCAACAAAGCTGCCATTAATTAAAAGCTGAGTGTAATTCACTTGGACGGAAGGAGTAGTTGGGTTCTCAATAGCAGCGGCGGTGCCGTAACCAGAAAACACTGTCCACTCCACAGAGCCTCCCTGAAAATTATTATTTTTTTAAAAAAATCACGTTGCATTTCTTACTATAGAAATGACAAAAGGCGTTACAAATTGAAATGAAACAGCTAATTATTCATAAAAAAAATATTCGTCTACTTTTAAAAAATATTTAGAAAAATACATTTATTTATGATGCAATATATTACAGATGGATATAAATTAAAAATATATATATCGTTTCGTTTTTCTCATTACATTTTCTGAGCAACCAAACACACTCCACCGAAGCCGTAATTTTTTTTATCAAACCGTAGGTAACATCCGTGTTTAGTCAAAGTTAACATTTCAATTTCCATTTGGCTTTAAAAACGACGTAAAAAAAGAAAAGAAATCATGAATTCAAGCACAAGTACCTTTAGATAGCAGAAAAGGAGGAGGAGAAGTCAAAGAACGAGAAAGAAACGCTGAAATCCTCCTAGTCGCCGCCGCCATCGTCGATTATCTAACAATCAAAAGGCTGAATCGAAACTAATACTAACTCAAGATTTTGTTTTTAGTTTCGAAAAAAAAAAAAGACAGAGAGAAGCGGTGGATCATGGACTGAAGTGAACTGGAGAAAAAAGGTGTATAACTAAGCGGAGTGAGGGAAGAAAGCGACAGATTGGTGATGCTTCTAAGTGTTTTAGAAAATGTATTAATTATACGATAATTTTTTTATATTGCACGTCATTTGTTAAGATTTTTATAAAAATGGTTATCCGGGAGGTAAGATAGTAGGTTGCTCCCAACATCATGTTGAGAGCAGCTTTCGTAGAAGACCTCTAAATTATGAAATGCCTTCCGTGTGACTCGATCCCACGACTTCAAGGTTAAAAACCTCGATCCCACGACTTCAAGGTTAAAAACCTTATGATCTACCAACTGAGCTGGATAGTCATCTCATTTGTTAAGATTTTTATGTTCGAATTATATAATCATTAGTTAGTATAATTACCGTTTTAAAATATTAAATATTCCTTTATAAATTTATATTTATAAATAGATTAAGGAAAATACAACAAATATGAAGTAGAATTAGTGTAACTTTAAATATTTGTGAATGTATGGTGTGTTTTCTGCAAAATTAAATAATATAAATTTAAAAATATTTGGATCAGATAAATTGTCGAAAACTTTACCGCTGTAATTGTTCGTTCAAGCTGGATTCATTTATACACATACTTAAAAGTGACTTTTAATAAACATGGTGCAAATAAACCCCGAGCTATTTGGCATTGGAATTTTCTTTTATCAACAAGTATTTGACATGGAATACTGCAAACATTTCCCAAAATTTAAATGCTGCAACCAAACATCACTATGATTTTGAAAAAATGTATTCAGTTCCAGATGAATCTTTGCTGAAGCATGGAACTTTAATCATGTTAAACCACAACTGCAAACATCTATCCTTTTACTCAACTCCTTTGTTATTTCAACTAATTCTTGGTGATTATACACTTCATTAAAGGAGTTTCAATGACTTAAACATCCACAAATCCAACATCTTTTCTTCCAACTTCTTCATCTACTTTCTTCTCCAAAATCCGTTTCTTGCAATCCAAGAAATAGATCACCAAAACAATCCATTTCATCAAATTCCCTATGCAGATCAAGCCAGTGCTTCCAAAGATGAACAGCATGCCCCCAGCTCTGTCACTGGACTTCCCCAAAAGTCAAGGCAACCTCAAGATGATTTCCCATATAGCGAAAACGAGCATTAACCGAAGACCGCGCTGCGTACTACCCCTTCCGAAATAAGCCGACAGTTGGAACGCTTCGATCCCGAACGTCTCCTCCAAAATCAAGATCACGAGAGCCATGTTCCATCCTGCACTCCACTCCGAGTACTTGATTAGCAATGCTATAAACGCAGCAAAATGGAAGATGGTTATCAATGATTCAACAATGTAATCATTAATCTGATCGTGATAAAAGTAGTAGTTCCTGACGAAGCCCTTTGTCAGAGTGTACCAGTTCGAGACAACCCCAACTAATCCAAGCAGGATACAGGTCGACAAGGGCAGAACATAGATTGATGTAATCAAAGGACCTTTTAACCTCGAATTTTGTCTCGTAAGATCCCGGAAACTGATCGGTTTCTCTGCTGCGTATACCATGTACATTGCATTAACAGTCATGATGATGTTGAGGAGCCCCACAAAAAAGCACGGAAAGAGTTTTATCCATCCTGTAAAGAGGTGCCCTTGAGAGATAGGCTCATCGACATGGAAGGTAACTATTGAGTCCAAACCAATATACGCGTAATCTGAAGATGGTGAAAAGAAATTGATGTTATCAAGCACCGTTTTCTGGAGGACGATCTCGAAGAAAATCGAAAGAAAGAAGAGAAGTGAAAAGGATGAAGATGATGAGTTGACATGTTTGTAGGGAACTGATAGATTCCTCGAGTATATCAAGGAATTCAAGCTTCTCCTTCAACATAATTTGAGTGTGATCTGTAGCTAAGTTTGGTAATGCGTTTATCTTGAACCATGTGCCCTCTTCTTAAGCAAAAAATCAAAGTCGTCTCTTTTTGTCTTGGACTAAGACTTGGACTTCATGGAAGATAAGAACGTAGGTTATTGGACATTGAGTGCAAGTGGCTGTAAGTTGAAAGACTAGTTCAAAGATTCACCTTGGTCACATGGTGGGTGATTGATTGGTGTAAAAGCTCTGAATTTTAGTATTTTCTGACTTTGTTTAAGCTACGGCCAGACTGCCGAAATTTTATGTTTTAAATACATTTCATCAACTTATAGCTTCTCTACACTTGGATTGCCTTCTCATTATTTTTCATTCTTTACCCTCTCTCTTGCAATATTTTCTCTATAAATTTTTAAATAGTTAATATATGTACGCATACATTCATGTATAAGGATTGTGATTAATTCAGCTCCCCCACAAAATCTAAATTGAAAAAAGAAACACAATGAAAAGGATCATATTTGTAAACTGCTTTCTATTGTAAAAAAAAGTACAGTTAAAAAGAAAATGGAGAGAGCATTCTGCTGAAATTTGAACAGTTGCACAGTCAAACTACTGAATGTACAAATAATTGGTTACCAAGGTAACATTCACCTGGTGAAAAGCAACCACCACTAAAGGTAATAATTGTGAACTACATCTACCATTATATTATATTAGACTAGAATCTCCACCAGTGTACGTAAAACACGCAACAATCAAATTTACAAGGGAGGAATGGACCTAAATGGCAAGTTAAACCATTAACCTCTATGGCATTAGGCACCAATATACAGAACAGACAAGTAGCAAATTAGATGGATGGAAAACAAGACAGCCAAACAAGATGGATGCTTACTTTCAATTACTTACCTCTGGAGCTTTGCAGATAATCCATCACTTAGATGATCATCAAGTAGGTTGCTGCAGGTTGTAGCAGCTTTCATGCTGAAGTAACCTTCAAGCACACACTGATACAAGGCAGAAATAAAAGGTTCCATACCATCAAACACCAAATATGCATCCAAGGAAATGTGTGAGCATCCAACATCAAGTAGTGCTAAATAGACAAGACCAAGATAAAAGTAATAGCGACACCTTCCACAATCAGCTACTAAGGGATCTTGCACGATTCAATGTTGGGCTGAATATGAAGCAATCATACAAGTAGATGACGAAGTGCAGAGAAGCTAACAATAGTAGACCGATTAACAGCTTCATCGTCTTAAAAATTTTAGATGCGTTGTTGCAGAAGCATACACCACAAACTAGGTCGCAACCAAAATCTGTTTGTTATTACTAGCGAATTCAACATGTAACTCAAGCTTCTACAACATGCAGGAGCGACGTCGAGTAGAAGAGGTGGTGCAGAGAAGCAATAGTGAGGAAACCATGTGCAGTAAGATGCAGTAAAGAGGCTAATGGACGCTGTTTTACTTCAAAATCACAAACCAAAAAAACATAAAAATCCTTTAGAATTATCTATCACAAAAAGACAAACTTACCATAATAACCAAGTTAACATAAAAAGGCAACAGAAAAATAGAAGCAGATAATGTGAAGCAAGAAAGGGACTTCCCAGTTTCATGTGCTGCTTACAGCAAGCCATCACAGAATGGTGTACAAGACACCCATTTTGGTGGCTGAAACACTTTGCAGAGTGGAAGCCACGCAAAACCATAAGTTCTAACGACCCCATTGTCATGAAACGAACATAACATAAATCTCTTTTGCTCACAGAAACTAATAATATTACAGTAGTACATAATTTCCCCCTAGATATCAATCCAGATTTCCTCAATTCAGGTCCCACTTTAATCTCTGCAAAAGAATTTAAGCAAAGCATGTTAAGTGTGAAACTACATTGCAAGTACCAAAAATAAGATCTGGTGATTCAAGTTATTCAGTATGCATGACTTACCCATTAGCATAAGGTGAATCACGACGAGCATGACGATATGGAGGCGACCTGCTATAGTTGCGACCACGACGAGGTGATATGCTGCGGTGCCGAGGAGATATTTTCCCATGTGGACTGTAGCTCCTGCCACGTGATATAAAAGTTTTATAAGCAAGCAAAAATAGCAAGTACATCTCTTAAGTAGTCTGCGTACACTTGTTCAGATGACCAATCATAACAACTAACAATCCACACAAAAAAAAGGGTTTAGTTAAAATAATAAGCCTTATTATCCAGATTTAAATATGCATTTGAGCACATCAGGCTTACAAAAGTCAAGAGTGATGGATTCTTAAATAAGTAGGGCGCAATTACAACTCAAGTTTACCTCAATTATACAACCAATAATATATATCCATGCAGACTACATTCATTCGTAGACAGTAAGGGGAAAAAGCATTTGCTTAGCATAAGAAAGGCATAACATGTATTGTACCATTGCATACATAGTATAAGCACCTCTGCAAACCTGATTCATCAGAAACTCTCCTCCTACAGCCTCAAATATAATTAATGTATATATGTAAGAACCGTTAAACACACCTGCGACCATATCCATAACTTGGACTCCTACGGCGACGAGGACTGGAGCTCCGACGTCGCCCATTCCCCATGCCCCGTGAGCCACGCGAGCGACATTCACGAGCAAAGTGACCAGGTTCACCACACTCATAACACTTCAAATCCTCAGCCCCACCACGACGCCCACCACGGCCTCCACTGCCTTTATAGTTATGAGAAAGTTCCACACGCCAACCATTCTTGCCTTCAAGGAGAAAATAATAAGTAAGCAAATTTTGGGTCAGTATTGCAGGATTGATCAGAAATCCATCATTGATTTTAAGAAACCATAACTGACAGTGTCAAAGAAGAAAGACTTAATTTGTTCGACACACAGTCATAACAAATTAAACAATTCCAAGCTTGTGAAAATACTAAGAAGAATCATATAACACACCTCTCTTAACATACATATCAAAGCTTAATTGTTAATGGATTTAAAGCATAAGCAGCAAATAAGGTGAGGGGGAAAAAAGAAATAATCAAGCAAAGACCAAGTGCAAGATTTGAGAAAAACGACAAATGGATAAATTAAACACCAAAAACACCAAGCTTCATAGTAAAATTGGAATAAAACTATACTCACCATCCAGCTCACGGATTGCATCCAAAGCATCCCTGCGGTCATCAAACTCAATAAACGCATATCCTGGTGGCCTTCGAGCTACCCAAACGCTGAATTCATTCCATTAGCAATTAACCAATCAAACTATATAATATATGTACATATATAAACATTAAAACAAAAGGTAAACTTCATTTAAATTCCACAGAAAAAACCCGGAAACCCTCACAGCTACCATCTAAAACACTATTATTCAGGTCTCTATCAAAAATCAAAATTTTCCCTCATTTAGAAAAATAATATTATATTTACTTGCGGAGAACGCCGAAAATTCTAAACTCGTCTTCGAGATCCCTCTCAGTGACCCGAGGGTCCAAATTCCCGATATAAACCCGAGACATTCTCGAAAAATCACTGCACACCATAAATAATTGCAGCAAATAAAAAAAAATCGTTAAAATTGAAACAAGAAACAGAAAACACTAGGAATAGGATCGTTAAAGAGAGGCCAGAGAAAATTAGGGGCTTTCGTAGGAAATGATCGAGGAAATAGATGTAACTGAGAGAGAGCACGATTAGGAGTTACCTCGAGGAAATTTATCGTGTGCTTTACGGTAAAAGGGAGAGACCGAAAATTGAAGCGGGTGATCGATTGCTTTGGCTCTGTTGCACCCAATCTCAAAGCTTTGGATTCTAATTAGAAACCCTAGAACAAGAAATTGTAAACTGTTTTTTTTTTGTATGTTTTAAAGGCAAACCAATGTAGTGTGTAGAAAGACGTACAGGCCTAAGGGACCGGACCGGGTGGCATACGGCCTTTCACTTTGCTGAACCGGGTCGACCAATATCAGGATACAGATTAAGAATGAACATGAGATCCGGATCTAATAAATTTCGATCTGGTTCGATTTCATAAGGTATTGTGTTCGGTAATGTAGGGTCAGTTTTTTAAGTATAATATCGATTCGAATTTAAGGGTATGATAAAATATCCTTAACCCAACCAAAGAAAATTGTATAATTATGTAATAAATATTTAAAGATAATTATAATAATACTCATTTTTTTAATTATATTCATATTTTTCTAATAAAAATAATTTTTTTACATATTTATGAAGGATCAAATCAGATTCAAATTTTTACTCCAAAAATCAAATCAAATTTAAAATCGAATAAAACCTCCTTAAAATCAGATAAGATCAGATGACAAATGAAAAAAATAAAATACTCGAATCAAATTTAGATTGATTAAGAAACTGACCCAACCCATATATATCCCTAGCACGAATGATTATAAATGATAATAACCAATTAACGCAAAGTAAAATTGATTTTAACATCAAAGAAGCATCAAAATTGATTTTAATTTTATCTTCAAGAGAAGCTTTCCAACGAGTGAAGAGTGAAGCTTTAGTTTGCACCTTCGGATCCTGGCTACTCGGGAGGGAAAGCAACTCTTTCAGACCAAGGCTTTGAAAAAGGTCCCACTTCGTTTCCTGGCTCCTGAGGGATTGAACTACCTTGTTGAACTACTTCCTCAAACTAAACTATAACACCACGCTCACGCGAACCTCAAACTAAACAGAGTTCTTTCGGCAGAAGCTTCCCTCGTAGGCTTTCGGCGCTTTCCTTGAGCATTCCTGCAGTTACCACTCGGTGGAGACCACGAACAAAATATTAGCGACTGCCTCGAATTGACCAATGCTCCTCTGCTTAATTTAAAAAAAAAAACATTTGCAGTCGGTTCAGTTTTATTTCAGATGACTTCAGCATTACATAGCCTGGATGACCAAACTCTTCATCCCATCCTTTTTTTAATTAGCCTTTCCATCTCTTCCAACCAATCAATAAAGGATGTAACGCTAGAGCTCATAACTAGGGCAGCAAATTATTCAATTTCGACTTGAAAATTCTAAAATTTGATTCAGTAATTATCAAGTAAAGTTCGAACTCAAGTCAAACTCAAACACCAATACTTGAATCAAACGCCTCACGATTGGGAATGAACTTTGCAATTTTAATATATATTTTATATTATTAAATTTGACTGGATCTATTCTAAACCAATTAAACGAAAGACAGAGAAGGCTGATTAGACAAAAAAATTAGACATCTTTAATTGCTTATTATTAAATTAAAATTATTCACATTCAATTGAAAAACTACTTGACACTAACATAATTAGGGTAATTTAAATTTAAAAAAGGGTACACTCCAATTGAATCGATTCACAAAACAAGGCAAAACAAATGAATTGTTTGATCAAACAGGGAGCTAACTGTAAACTGCATTTATTTGCAAATGGTGAAATTTGCTGTTACAATTCAAACCAACACTGCTCAATTCGAACTTCTATGGATTAACTAACAAGAAAACCCTTGAACTTGTATTCTAATAAGCTAACCCTTAGCCTAAACAGGCCTGGAAAGCCAAAATCTGTTTCATCAGTCTAATTAATCATATGGTAAGTTGCAAACAAATTAAACTGCGGCATGAACAATGAAGCGGGAAACAGCTCCGAAGGTCGAATCTTTCGTACCAAATCATTCAACAAGTAAAACTCAGAACTTTATACCATGAAGGAGCAATGCAGAGTAAAAGGTAGCTCTGCTTTACTTCAAATAACCACTCCAGAGGCAAAGACACAATTAACACAAGAATCAAAGTAAACACTAAAATGGTTTCGGGTGTGTACAATTCGAAGTCCATACCCTAACAATTGCAAATTTTAGACTATGAAATGAGAAAGAAACCACCCAAATTCATATGCAAAGCCAAACGTTGCACGTTCAAATGTTATTCTGAAGAAGCAAAGCATAATCATAAAAAGAATCATAAATCTGTGAGCTGAAAGAACCTTTACAGTATTTCAAAAACATTACCCACGGATGATATTAACCAGTGCAAAGTTTAGTGAGACAAAACACTTTCATCAACCAAAAGTACATGGCCAAACCTAAGCCTTCCCGGTGTTCTTCTTCTTCTGTTGATTATCAGTTTCAGGGTTTTGCTTAGGAACAGGCTGAATTCTCTGGTAAGGAGTCCTAGTCAATGTCTCCCCCCTCAAAGCAGCTACATATCGATCGATCGTATCCTCTTTCCGCTGGAGCTCCCCAAGGTACTCCGCTAATCGCTCCTGATTCACTTTCCCCATCATCTTTTCAAAATCCATGAAATCAAGCAGGTAAGCATGGGAATAAATTACGTAAATTATTAAATTAATTGTTAATCGATGAATTGAACAGGGATGGAACTAAAGAGTAAAAGAGGGGGAATAAGTGGTTACGAGGGATTCGGGGCGGGCGTTTTGGCGGAGCTGGGCCTCCAACTGAGGGTTGCGGGAGTTGGTGAGTTGCATGACGCCGTAACCAATGACACCGGGAACGACGCCGCAGATGGTGGCGAAGGCCAAGAAGAAGGGCTTCGAATCCCTAGTCCGCCTCACTAGCCACCGCCAGGTCTGGCTCTTTTCCCACAGTATCGACATCTCCGATCTCTCTGCTTTCTGGATCTCTCAATTGTTGTTGCTCTAATAAGCCCTTCTCAATTCCACAACCAATACACGGTCTTTATTTTTCCTCTTATGGGCCCATAAAATGTTAGTTTGGGCCTTGACACTTTGGAAATCAACAATTTAGTATTTTCTTATTCACTCATTTTATGTTTGGTTAGACAAGTCTCGTGTGGGTCTAAATTTAGCTAATTGGTCATTAAGTCATGCGATATTTGAAATAGATTTTTAAAATAAATTATTCTTTTCATATTTTTTATTTTAAATTTATTTTCATAATATCGTCATATTATTTAAAATATGTCAATGACTTATATATAAAGAATCTTATAAAATCTATTAAAAAAATAGAGTTCAATCTCACATCTTAATCATAAACATGATACGAGATCTATAAACTCCAAATTTTAAAATAATTTTACATAACATAAATAATGATTCTTAGAATTTTGGAAGTATGATGATTATGTCGGGGTTGGAATTCGAGTATGATCCGATTAATTTGGTTTGAGTTTAAATGAGATGATTAGGGTTTTGGAATAAAATTTGTACCTTAAACTCAAATTAAAATGAATTTGGGTGATGATAAAAAATTCTAACATTATTTGAAAAGCGGTTATAAAATTATTTTTGCATTGAAAATGTATCAAATAATAATTTAATAAGAAAATAAATAGTGAAATAATCGCTTATGCAAGAATTAATTGAAAGTAGGTGAGAGCCTTAGGTGGATATGTGTGCCTACGGAGGAACTTTTAGATGACCCGGTTTCTCAACTATTTAAAATTATTATTAAATCAAATAATAATAAAATAATTGATAAAAGATAAATTAATTATTAAATTAGATCACATCATTGGCCAAAAAGGAAAACTAATTATTAAACTAGATCACATCATTGATAAAAGAGACTAAATCAAATAATTGATAAAAGAGGAATTAATTATTAAATTAGATCACATCATTGGCCAAAAAGGGAAAATTAGATATCACCGATTAATATTACCTTCACCGTGCAATAGACCCAACCCAAAATACTAGTTTTGGATCGGGGAAATTAGATACCACCATTAATTTTATTAATAAAAAATAAAATATTCAAAATCATAATAAATTTTTATCAAATCATAAAGTATACATACAATTAGGATATTTATTTATAATAATTAATTAAAAAATTACTCATTTAAGATCATAGAAGGATAACTGTTAAAATATCAATAAAAAAATTTGAACAAAACATAAATACGAATAGGTCTGACTGCATAAATAAACAAACGACAGAAGGGAATTAAACTACTAAAAGACAACTGATAAACCATAAACTAAAATCGAACGATGTGAGAAAACTATCCACGAACGTAAACTACATATCAAAATCTAATAAAAAATCAGTATGTTAATAAATAGACATCATCTTGATTAATCGATACGACATTAAATTCAAAAAAATACTAACCATGAATTATATCATTATTTCTAAAACAAATCAAGTCGAACATTTTTCGCTCTTAACTCAAACTCAACCCAACTTTATTCGTAAAATAATCTAACCAATCTGACATAATCTAAAAATTTGAATGTTTAAAAAATATAAAATTAAATCAAATCAAAATTCAATAAATTCATATAAAAATTATCTTTAATCTTACCTCGCTGTACGTATATACTTTACATCACTGTCGAGCCCAACTTTATGTTTGTTTGGCTCGATTTGACTTGGCACATTATGAATTAATTATGGTCCTACATTTTTAAATGGCGATTGACTCGATTCAGTCCTCGTGCGGGCTTCGTGGTGAATGTGTCACATTGATGTGGATTTATAATTTCAGTTATAAATATTATATTTATGGTCTCACCGTGCATGCTTTGGTGGTGAATGTGTTACATTCGATGCACTCCATCTTATTAATTAATTAGGTCAATTTACAAATTGCAAACTATCATTATCCTATACCAACTTACTTATTCGTGCCGCCAACTACATTCTTATCATTATTCATATACAATAAATAATATGAAAAATTGGGATTTAAATGATTGATTTAAATTTAAATAACATATATTATATATATTTTTTAATTTTGGGCGGTCGATTTTGGGAATTAGATGGATAGATAACATTAAATGTGAAATTTCATATTATTTGTAGGGACGGCCAAAATTAAAGAAAGGGGTCATATTCATCCATAGATAGCCATACTTTTAATTTTTAAATTTTATTTTATTATAATTTTAATATTTTTAAAGAAAGATTTTACTTCTAAAATTTCATGCCAAAAACGTTACGGGTGATATGATATATATATTTATATATATACTAGAATTATAAAAAGGTATTTTTAAATATATTGTTTTTCAAAAATGTATTATATATATTGGACAGAAAATTAGATTTATAATATGGTGGCTGCTTTATGGATTTGCATAATGCTAGTTCCAAAAATTGGCGTTATAACTTTGACTTTTTTATTGTATACAAAACACGTGTCCTGGGCAGCCACACCCCACACATTTGGCTACTTGGGGTTAGGGATGGCATAGGACCGAACCTGATGGGTTCAGATCCGACCTATATCTTATAGGGTCAGAATATTTTTTTTTAAATTTAATTCGGATTGGGTTGAGTTGAGTGAAATTTAGGGTGAAAAATATACGATTTTATCCGACTTAGTTTAAAAAATAATATAATTATATCTTATATGTTTAAGGATAATTGCATAAATATCATTCTTCGTATTATTTTTTCAATTAAATTTTTATTTATATTGAATAAAATATTATTTAAAAAAATATATTTATTTCTAGTCGAATCAAGTTTTGTTCGAGTTCAAATTTTATCTCAAAAGCTGGGTCAGGTCGGGTCCAATGTAGTCACTCTAGTCTCAGGTCAGGCCGGATTTAGTGTGGAGGGGGTATATTTTTCGGATCGAATCATGTTAGCCGAAAACCTGACCCATGTTTATCCCTACTTGGGACAAACTTTTGATTTGTTTGGTATAATTATTGATATTCGATTTATTAATTGGTTAATTTGGATTATATACTATAGAAGTTTAATATGAGAACAATCTTTCTAATATAATTTGCTCAATTCACAAATATCATTACTTGAATCTCTAACTTTGTTTAAGATGTCTAATGTTTCATCTCACTAAATTAATTGATTGTGGATAAACTTTTGGTTTCTTTATCACACAATATTAAAGGATGATATAGTTTTAATCTTAAATCTTAAATTATTATATTGATAAATTTTAAATAAATTATATAATATTTAAGTGATAAGCAGTTTAATATTGTTTAAATAAAGTCTCGAGTTCGAGTCATTGTGTATGCAGAAAATTCATGCTAGGAGACTCACCCACCAAAACAATGTGTGCGACGCGAGCCAGTATTGATTAGTCAATGTGAAGTTTTAGAACCAGAAGAACAATAAAAAATAATATTTTTTAACTTGTATGAGATGAAGTTTTTATTATAAAAAATTATTAATCTCTTAATAACATATACATACTATACGGTGTAGATCATTTAGAGATAATAATATTTTATTTCACTATTTAGTCTACCCAATAGATTTTAAACCTTAAACCTAAGTATTTATATTAATAAATCTTAAATAAAAATATAAAATTAAAATATACATAATTATATAAACTAAAATGTATATGATATAAAATGTCAAAAAATGTTATACGATACATATTCATATAATTTTCCTTAATAAATCTAGGTTTCCACCCCATACATTTCAAAACAAAATTATACCAAATCGAACACATTTTATAAATCATTTATCGAATAAAATGAGTACTTATAAAACCCCTAATAAGTACTCAATCAAATGAAACTTTAAAAGCATAGATTTGACTAATGATTACTTATTACTTATTAGTCTTCCTTTCCCCACTTATAGCTACTTTCATCTCCACTTTATAAAAAGCTTTAATTATATGAACCAATATCCCTCTTATCAAAAGGCCTTTGTATTTGATATCATCCTTTCCTTTTTTTTTCTTCCACTTTAGCATCATTACCATTTGTCATTACTTATTTTCACAATGTATATCCCTAAACAAGTATATAATCTGAAAATACATACAAAAGGATTTAACAATAAGTATATAATCTCAAGACACATACAGAAGGATTTGTTAAATTATTTAAACAACAGTTATTAATAAAACTGAAATCCATGTAAAGCTTTCCCCACCAACTACACACCAAAACAACTAGTCTCTCCCTCTCTTTGTTTCCTTGCTCCAGAAGCCTCATAAGTCCTTATTTTTTATATTTTTTTAACCGCTACAAGTTTTTTTTTTACTATAAAGTATCATATTTGTTCTTCACTTGTGGTTTTATGGGCCTTGGAAGTTTTATTTGTTTATGCTGTCTCCATTGATGAAAGCTCAACTGCTCTCTACATACATACAACTGTCACTAAAGAACAAAAAGAAGAAGAAGAAAGTTCTGTACTTGACCTTTTCGGTTTGCATTTAGCAGTTGGGCATTCGTTGAATATCTTCGATCATGGATCTGGAAACTGGTGTTTACCAAAACTATGTTAAGGTAAGATGGGCTTGTTCAACAAATTTGCTTTGATTCCTTGTTTTTTTTACTGAAACCCCATTTCTGTTTCGAGTTTTTGCAGAAGGAATCATGGAGAACTGTGTTGACTTTAGCATACCAAAGCCTTGGAGTAGTGTATGGTGATTTAAGCACTTCCCCTTTGTATGTTTACAAGAGCACATTTGAGGAAGATATTCAACACTCGGAGACAAATGAAGAGATATTTGGGGTTTTGTGTTTTGTTTTCTGGACTCTCACTCTGGTGCCTTTGCTCAAATATGTGTTTATAGTGCTCAGAGCTGATGATAACGGTGAAGGAGGGACTTTTGCCTTGTATTCATTGCTGTGTCGACATGCCCGAGTTAACTCGCTTCCCAATTGCCAATCGGCCGATGAAGAGCTGATTGAGTACAAGAAGGATGGTATCGGTTTTTCATCAAAATCAAGTTTTGGGTCAA